AGTGTTGTGCAGCCAAAGCATTTTCTTTCTTTTTTTAGCCAAAGCATTTTCTCTTTCTTTCTTTCTTTCTTTCTTTCTTTCTTTCTTTCTTTCTTTCTTTCTTTCTTTCTTTCCTTCCTTCCTTCCTTCCTTCCTTCCTTCCTTCCTTCCTTCCTTCCTTCCTTCCTTCCTTCCTTCCTTCTTTCTTTCTTTCTTTCTTTCTTTCTTTCTTTCTTTCTTTCTTTCTTTCTTTCTAAATAAGTATGTGCACTGGTACTTTGCCTGCACATATGTCTGTGTGAGGATGTTGGATCCCCTGGAACTAGAGTTACAGACAGTTGTAAGCTGCCATGTGGATACTGGGAATTGAACCAGGTTCCCTGAAAGAGCAGCTAGTGCTTGCTCTTAACTGCTGAGCCATCTCCCCAGCACCCCAAAGCGTTTTCTAACTGCAGATTCAACATGAGGGCACAAGTGATTTCTTTTTCTTTCTTTTTTTTTTTTTTTTTTTTGGTTTTTCGAGACAGGGTTTCTCTGTGGTTTTGGAGCCTGTCCTGGAACTAGCTCTTGTAGACCAGGCTGGACTCAAACTCACAGAGATCCGCCACAAATGATTTCTTATTGTCTCTGTTCTCTTCTCCTAATAGTCACTAATCTTTCATTCTGTTTCATTTATTTGTCAATTTGTATATTGTGTCAGTTTGTCCTTATTTTTCCTCTAATTTTATCCTTTCATTTTAATATGTATGGAGGTTTTGCCTGTGTGTATGTTTATGTACCACATGTGTGTGCTGTGTCTGAGGAAGCTAGAAAGGTGTCTGATCATCTGGAGTTGGAATTACAGGCAGTTGTGAATCAGCATGTGGTGCTGGGAATTGAGTTCAGGGTTCTCTTGAAGAGCAGTCAGTGCTCTAAACCATTGAGTTATCTCTTCAGCTCCTTTTGTTGTTTTCTTTTGTTTGTTTTTTCCTTGAGACAGGGTTTCTCTGTAGCTCCTGCTATCCTGGAACTCACTCGGTAGACCAGGTTGGTCTCTTACTCAGATCCTCTTTTGTCCCCCAAGAGTACCACCATGCCTGGCTAACCCCCCCCCTTTTTTTTTTTTTTGCCTTGAGACAAGGTTTTATGAAATTCACACTGTTCTCAAACTTGCTGTGTAGGCCAGGCTGACTCAGAACCTCTAATCCTGCTTCTGCCTCCAACCTGCATTACAGGTGTTCACCATCATCCTTTACTTATGTTTTCCTATTCTGGATATTTCATATTAAATAGAATCACACAATATGTAACTTTTTGTATATAACTTTTTTGTAGTATGTGACTGCTATATCTCTTTTATGACTGAATAATAGTCTATGTTTTTCTTTTTTCTTTTAAGATTTATTTATTTGTTATGTATGCATGTTCTGGGCACCAGATCTCATTAAAGATGGGCAAGAGCCACCATGTGGTTGCTGAGAATTGAACTCAGGACCTCTGAAAGAGCAGTCAGTGGTCAGTGCTCTTAACCTCTGAGCCATCTCTTCAGCCCCATAGTCTATGTTTTTCAATTTACCTATAGATGGTCATTTACACTGTTTTTGTTTGTATTGAAACAGGTTCTCTTTGTGTAGTCCTGACTATTTTAGAATTCAGTATGTAGACCAGCATGGCACTGAACTCAGAGATCTTTCTGCCTCTGCCTCTGTGCTGGAATTAAAGGCATACATCACCATGCCTATCTTAGGCTGTTTTTTTTTTAAATCTCCTGTCAATTATAAATGATGCTGTTGTAAATATATTTGTTAAATATGCTTGAGTATACCTATTTTCAGGCCTTTTGAGTATGTACCCTAGAAGTTGTCTTTATAGCCATCCTAGTGATTGTGAAGTTGGCTTCTTATGGGTTTGCTTGCATTTCTCAAGTGATTAAAAATGATGTCCATTTTCATATGCTTTTAACTATTTGTATATTTGTTTCATTTATAAATGTCTCTGTTTGTATTTAATATTGTAATTATTAATATGCATGCTTCTTTATATATCCATATGTTGAGAAAAAGATACAGTAGGTAGTACTCTCTGTCAATTTTGTGTATAAAAGACTCCATTTTTTTCTCTTGAGGAACCAAGCATTTGACTTCAGTTGGCTGTTGTCAAGATTCTAGGCCAGAATCTTAATTTATAGACCTTATAATCAGTTGCTTAGGGGCAATAATGTCCCTTTTATGAAAGTTTGAAGATTCATAAAAGATGAAATACTGTGAAATCATCACTGTTGACTCAAGAAACATTCTTTAAGTAATACTGAATATATTCTGATTATCTTCTAATTCTGTTGCTTTTGGCTTATTTGGTCAAATACCTGGCTGTGTTAGGGAAATGTTGAAGTTATTTAACTGTAAAACTCATATTTGAAACTTTTGAATTAAGTTAATAATAGTTTAGAAAGATTTTATTTATATGGTTGAGAATATGTGTACCACATGTGTGCAAGAACCTGTGGAAGCCAGAAAAGGATGTCAGATAAGTCTGGAACTGGAGTTACAGCCATTTGCGAGCCACCTGATATGGATGTTGGACCTGAACTAAGGTCCTCTGCTATAGTAGTATGGACTCTTGATTACTAAACCCATCTCTCTAGCTTCTTCTAGTCTTTTTGAAGATTATAATCCCAGCATTTGGGAGACAGGTGCAGACAGATCTCTGTGAGTTTGAGGCCAGTCTGATCTACATAGCAAGTTGTAGGCCACCTAGGACTTTACAGTAAGACCCTGTCTCAGAAAGAAAAAAAGAAAAAGATTGTATATGTGGTTTGGTGGTGGTGTCTTCAAGCTTGCTATGTAAGTAAGGATGAACTCTGTATCTTCCTGTCCTCATCTTTCTGAGTGCTGGAAGTATAGGCATGTGTACTACAACTAGCTTTTTTTTGTTTTTAATTTTCGAGACAGGGTTTCTCTGTAGCCTTTTTGGTTCCTGTCCTGGAACTAGCTCTTCTAGACCAGGCTGGCCTCGAACTCACAGAGATCCACCTGCCTCTGCCTCCCGAGTGCTGGGATTAAAGGCGTGCGCCACCACCGCCCAGCTACAACTAGCTTTGAATGTTTATTAGAACTAGAATTGGGGTATAATGGTACTTGCCTGTAACCCCAGGACTCAGAAGACTGAGTCAAGAGGACTGCCGTGAGTTTGAGATGCCTTGGCCATGTGTGTGTACATAATTTTTTTTCTATTTTTATACACACACATTTTACATATATGTTAGAAAAAATAGGACTCAAATTAACACTCTTCATTGTTGTAGGAGGCCTCTTGTGAGTTCCCGACTGACCAGACTTCCAAAATAACCACATAGAAACTGTATTAATTAGATCACTGCTTGGCTTATTAGCTCTAACTTCTTATTGGTTAGCTTTTACATCCTAATTTAAGCCATTTTCATTATTTTATATTTTACCACGAGGCTCATGGCTTAATGGCAAGGTTCTAGCCTATCTGTCTCCAGCAGTGGCTCCATGGCTTCTTCTTGACTCCGCCTCCTTTCTCCCAGCATTGAGTCCTACCTCTATTCTTTTGCCCTATCACAGGCCAAGACAGTTTCTTTATTTTATGTATGTATATATGTATGTGTGTGTGTGTATATATATATATGCACACACACACCTCCATCTATATCTATACACACATCTTTTTTATTACAGTGTGGTGTTGCTACAGTGAGATACAAAAGACATGTATTTTCTGGTAAGAACTAAAGTTCTTTTGGGGCTGGAGAGATGGTTCAACATTTTAGAATACTTACTGCTTTTCTAGGGGATGCAGGTTTGATTCCCAGTATAGTGCCTCACAGGCAAAATGTAAATACACATAAAACTTAGAAATTAAACTTTTTAATTGATTCTAATATTTCAGTAAAATGAGATTGGCTTAGAAGTTATAAAAAAAAAGCATAGGAAGAATTGGATGGCACTTTTCCCCCTAGAAGTCTAATGAAATACACTCCAATTTTAATTCCTGAAATTAAGTGAACTAAAAAAAAAAAAAAACCCCTGACATTTGTTATAGTACTTACTATGGTAGAGTAGTAGTCTGAACTTACACACAGTAACTCATGTAATCCTCATAACTATAAAGTATAAAGTAGGTTTTTTCTTTATACTTTAAAAATAAAGGAGATAGTATCTGAATAGTGTTGGGATTTGTATTTAGCCAGTTTTTTTAAAGATTTATTTATGCATGCAGTATTCTGCCTGCATGTATGCCTCTAGGCCAGAAGAGGGCACCAGATCTCAATATAGGTGGTTGTGAGCCACCATCTGGGTGCTGGGAATTGAATTCAGGACCTCCGGAAGAGCAGTCAGTGCTCTCAACCATCTCTCCAGACCCCTATTCACCAGTTTTATCCCAGAACCCAGGTTCTTAAGCCTATCTCAATTATGACAATCATCTTTAAGCAGTAGATAATCTCATAGAAAGGAATTGGTAGCAGAACCTCCAAGGAATCTACTGTTTTTTTCGAAGTTTTCTAAGTTGCTCAGTACTTAATCAATGCAGGTCATCTGGAAGAGCAGTATATGTACTTGACTAATGAGTTATCTCTCCAGCACCTGTTTTGTTTATGTTATGAGACTATGTCTCAGTAGGTAGCCCTGGCTGATCTGGAAGTCACAGAGGTCTTTAGGCCACTGCCTCCCAAATGCTGGGTTTAAAGGCATGTGTCGCTACTTTTGGTGGGTTATTATGTATGTTTTTAATTGTCTGTTAATTGTCTCTTCTTCTAACTTTGTCAGAATTGGATAATTTAAGTAGTAGAAAGTTTCCCATGGTTTAAAGTTGCGCCTAACATTGAAATGGACTGTGTTGTGGAATGCTGTGCTTTAAAAGTGCCATAGGTGATTGTGATGAGCTTATAATGCAATAGAAGATTGCACTGTTCCCTAACATTGTAGATCTGATATAATTTTATAGATAATAACTACAAATTATCTTTTAATTATTCTTAGCAACTTTTAACTTTTCCTTTTTCTTTTTTCTTTTCCTAGTTTATGTCAGCGTGGCTTCATTCATACAGATGAACCAAGCATTGGGATAGCAGTATAAAATTAGAATCAGACAGCTGACTGCTCAGCAGGATGCCATCAACTAACAGAGCAGGCAGTCTAAAGGACCCTGAAATTGCAGAGCTCTTCTTCAAAGAAGATCCGGAAAAGCTCTTCACAGATCTAAGAGAAATTGGCCATGGGAGCTTTGGAGCAGTATATTTTGTGAGTTAAAGGTTTGACGTCAGTGATGTTGGAGTAAAAGATGTTAAAAAGAAAAGAAGTTTGCTAAGAAAACAATCCCTGCTCTCATACTGCGTTTTATACCACATATGTCGACATGCATTATGCAAGCAATGACTTTTTGCAGCTGACATCACTTGGTTGTCCTCTAATTCAATCTTATTTCAAAACTACCTGGAGATATAATGTAATCTAGGCCCAGTCGTATAAGAATGCCTCCTATTTTGAGATGCCAGTTAAAAGCTCTAGCTTGTATTTTGATTAACTATGGAGTTGGGATCCTTCAACCCTTTCCTTGGATATAATTAAGTGCAACTTTTAAGATTTTATTTTAAATGATACAACAAAAGATTGAGCCCTAGAATCCTATTTGTAACAGGAGCTTTTGTGTACATGGAGTATGTCAGTTTCTTGGCCATTGGATGTTTGCTCTCATCTTCCTCATCATCCCTAGTCTTCTGGGGTTGTTAATCATTACATAAGGTGATTAGTAAGTTATTGGCTGTTGGTGATTAATTTTACCTTCAGCTGCTTTCCTTTCTCCCAAGGTGAGAATTGGGTGTGTAATGCCAGTTCCACTTTTCTGACTCAGGATTGGTTTCCCTGAGAACCATCCTTCCCTCCAATCCTGTTCTTATCCATGTTCTTTCCTCAAAACACCTCAGGTGTGGTTGAAAGTGGTTTGCTGTAAATAAAAAAGGCTCTCTTATTATTCACCAATGTAGCTCTTCTGGAGGTTGCTTGCAACCAAGGACAAAAATCCAAATATTTTACCAAGATAATAGTTTAGGGGAATAAAAATAAACCACCCTAAATATATCTTCTGGCAAGATTTATGTTAATTATTCTACAGACACAGGAATGACACTGAGATGCTATCCTTAGAAGACTTGACAGCTTAATATGACAGTCTTGCTCACCTTACTGTAGTCTCTTTAGCCTCTCATAGTCTGCTTGATGTCATCATCCTCAGAAGCTTCAGGACCCTCATTCTGTAGGGCAGTATGCTATTTCAAGGTCAACCATATGCCTTTTGAGTTTTTTTTACTTTGTGTATGGCTCCTGCATGTACACATTAATAATTTGTATGCTTTGTCCCTTCCCCCTTTTCTCTATTACCAGTTCACTTTATAGACTAAAATTACTGAACCTTCTGAGGAAGAGACAAATTTAAAACTTCTCTATATAGCTTTCATTTGTCCTCAGAGTATATAGTTTAGAATCTTCCTCCCCATACTTAAAACTGAAGATAATACTGAACCTTATAATTTAATGTCTCGCCAGGTGGTGGTGGCGCTCACCTTTAATCTCAGGACTTGGGAGGTAGAGGCAGGTGGATCTCTGTGTGTTCGAAGCCAGCTTGATCTACAAGAGCTAGTTCCAGGACAGGCTCCAAAGCTACAGAGAAACCCTGTCTCGAAAAACCCCAAAAAAGAAAAAAAAATTTAATGTCTGAGCTAAATACTTTAATACTTTTCATGCCCTGTGGCCATAACTTTTGCATTTTGAGGTATGGCAACTAGCATACATTTCACTTCCTGATAATTTTTTTTTAAAATATGTATTGGCGTTTTGCCTCCGTGTGTATCTGTGTGAGGGTATCAGATCCCCTGGAACTGGAGTTACAGACAGTTGTGAGCTACTGTGTGGGTGCTGGAAATTGAACCCAGATCCTCTGGAAGAATAGCTAGTTCTCTTAACCACTGAGTCATCTCTCTAGCTCCCTTTATAATTTTATAATAGAAATCTTGTTCTTACTATAGAGTTTTAGCAGCATCAATATAACTTTGTTGTTTTTGAATCAAGGTCTCTTTACATAGCCATGACTGTTCTAGAACTTACTATGTAGTCCAGGCTGACTTTGAACTTGCAGAGATCTGCCTGCTTCTGCCTTCTGAGTGCTGGGATTAAAGGTGTACACCACCACCACACATCTGAGATTTTTTTTCCCCCAAGATAGGGGGGAGTCCTGGTTGTCCTAGAACCCACTTTCTAGACCAGACTGACCTTGAACTCACTGAGATCCGCCTGCCCCTGCTTTCCAAGTGCTATAATTTAAGGCCTTTGGCCACTTCCTCCCATTCAGGCCAGAAGAGGGTATCAGATCCTCTGGACCTGGATACAACCTGGTGGTTGTAAGCTGTTTGATGTGGATGGTTGCTGGGAACCAAACCGGGTTTTACAAGAGTAGTAAGAGTTCTTATCTATTGATGTTTCTCTCTAGCTCCCAAGTTAGAAATTTCTTTATCATATTTTTCTTTTTCCATTTTGTGTGTGTATGCACACATGTGTACAAGTGTGTGTGTGTGTATTCATGTGGTGCATGTTTTTACATGAGTGTGGGCGTGGATGTCATCAGCATGTTAGGATTCATCCTAGATTCTCTTTTATTTCATTTGTCTAAGCAGGGTTAATCCAGAGCTCACTCTTAGGGCTTCTTGTTAGCTAGCTTGCTCCAGTGATCTTATCTCCTTCCAGAGTTGGACTTATAGTTGGACCATCAAATCTACGCAGTAATTATGGTGTTAGTTTTCTGGGGATCCATACTCTGCTCCTCTTTACACTCATTATAATACTTTGTGTTGTGAGTGCTATTGCCAGTGAGCCATCTTCTACATTCCCTTTTGTTACTTTGTTTTAAGACAGGATTTCTCTGTGAAGCCCTGGCTACCCTGAAACTTTCAGTGTAGATCAGGCTGGCCTTGCACTTACAGAGATCTATCTGCTTCTCTCTTTCAGGTGCCTGGATTATTTTCATTTTTTCCTCAAAGGAAACATTCTTCTTTTTGGCATGTCAGGATTGCCATTATCTCATTATTACATTTTGATAATTTTATTATGTAAATTTTGATTGTTCGAACACAAGGACTTAAATAACCAATGCAAAACTATATAGCTATCTTAGATGCTACTAAGTCACTTATGGGTGGGTAGAGTATGCATTGTAGATATGCTGGGCAAAAGAAATGATTCATGTCCTAGCTAGACAGAATATGCTACTAAGAACGGCATACAATTTCAAACTTTTAGAGAAAGCCAGGTGAGAAAGAGAGGAAGACAGCCTTCATAGGTCAGAAAGACCAAGGTTCAGAGCCTGCATTTTAGTTCAAAATACCTAACCAGTTGATATAAATTGCTGTACTTTGGAATATTGTGTTAGAGCACAAGTCCATTTTTCAGTTTTGAGTATGTATGTGCTTTAAGGGTAGAATTTCAGATACCTATGACACTTCTATGTTTAAATTTTTGAGGAATAATTTAACTGGAAGCCCAGCAACTGCTGTTTTCATTCCCACCAGTAGTTAAAAACTTAATTTCTTTTTTTAATTAATTAATTTATTTAAAATTTCCACCTCCTCCCATCTTCCCATTTCCCTCCCACTCCCCCCACAAGACTTAATTTCTTTACCTTTGTGAAAATGCCTGTTATCTTGATATTTTGGTTATTCAGTCTCAATGTTGTGGAGTGGTTTTCATTTTCAGTTTACTGATGTTGAACATGTTCTGTTGTTTAGACAGGGTCTTTCTTTGTAGCCCTGGCTTTCCTGAATATCATTGTATGGATCAGGATGGTTTCAAACCATTCCCAACCTGTGTTGGTTGTTTTTGTTGTTTTAAAGCTGTATGTGGAGTTGGACACTTTTAATCTCAGCACTCAGGTGTCAAAGACAGGTGTGAATCTGAGCCAGCCTGATCTACTTAGAGAGTTCCAGTCCAGCCAGGGCTGCATAATGAGACCCTATCTCCCCCCCCACAAAAAAATTAATATTTAAAAAATTTTATTTGTGTGTGCCACAAGTGTGAGGATATTTTCAGACACCAGAAGAGAGCCTGAATTCTCTGAAGCTAGAGCTAACAGGTGGTTGTGAAACACCCAGTATGAGTAATTATAACCAAATTCAAGACCTCTGGAGGAACAACCAATGTTTTTAACCACTGAGCAATCTTCAGCCCCATTCTCAGGTCTCTGGCTTAGTATTTTAAGTAGACTCTGTCTAGAATATATAAAGAACTCAATAATAAAGATTCATAGTTTAGAACATGAATATTTGAATTAAAATTTTTTCCAAAGAAAATTGCAGATGGACAATAAGCTTATAAAAAATGTTGAATATTAGCTGGGCATTGGTGGCACACACTTTTTATTCCAGCACTTGGGAGGCAGAGGCAGGTGAATCTTCATGAGTTCAAGATCAACCTGGTCTATAGAGTTCCAAGACAGGCTTCAAAGCTATAGAAAAATCCTGTTTGAAAAAACAAAACAACAACAAAAAAAATCAATATCATTAGTCATGAATCTTGAAATATTTTTTTAAGTAATCACAAAAGGTCACATGTGGTTCCTTTTAAATAAAATATCCAGAATAAACAAATCTTGAGGCATAGGAAGTATATTGTTGCTTAGAGAAGGTGAGTAAAACAGATAGGAGGGTGATATGTAAAGATGATATAGGGTAAATTCAGCCATGGTTAAAAACTCCCCAGTAGCAGTACTCAGGAAACTGAGGGAGGAACATTTTGAGTATGAGGCCATAATAGGATATATTCGTGAATTCAAGGCTAGTCTAGCTTATAATTTTTAGAGAGTGTAGAAAAACAAGAATCAAAAAACAAAAATTGACCCCAGGCCTTATAGAAATGATATGTCATGTTGAACACTTAACTTCTCTAGTTTTGGTTTTGTAAGTGATGGCTTTCTTTATAGTTGAGAGATTTGGAAGTAATACTTCCTAAACTTTCAGCATTTAAGTTTATATTGGGTAGTGTACACCTTTAATTCCAGCACTCAGGAGACAGAGACAGAGACTCTTCAGTTTGGGGCCTATATATAGCAAGCTCCAATACAGCCAGGGCTGCATAGAGAAACCTGGCCTCAAAACAACTGGAACAAAATATGAATTCTGAAATGTCTTTCTAGTATCAAGTCCTGAGTTTTATATTTTATTTTATTTTAATATTTTTTTTATGATTTATTTAACTTTATTTTATGTGTCTTGGTGTGGAGGTGTCAGATCCCCAGGAAGTGGATTTACAGACAGTTGTGAGCTGCCGGGAATTGAACCCCCGGGTCCTCTGGAAGAACAGTCTGTGCTCTTAACTGCCAAGCCATCTCTCCAGCCCCTGAGTTTATATTTTATCCTGATAGTTGATGTCATACAAAATTTAGGTTAAGAAATACTTACATTTATTTATTTTGTTGTAGAAGGGCCATTGAGGTCAGAGAACAACTCCCAGGAGTTTGTTCTCTTTCTAGGATGTAGGTCTCAGGGATTAAATCTAGTTTACCAGATTTGGTGGCAAATAACTTACTCCGAGCCGTATCTACTTCCCCATGCCCTATAAAATTTTATAGTCTTCCTTCTTATATTTATGAATTAAATTGGTATATAACTTAAATGGGTTTTAAATATAGGATCATACTGCATTCTTATAAGACATTTCTTCTTCCCTTTTATATATCTGAAAAGATACACAAACACCCCATCTTCCCCCCATGCCGTGTGTGTGTGTGTGTGTGTGTGTGTGTGTGTGTGTGAGTGTGTGTGAGACAGAGAGAGAGAGAGAGAGAGAGAGAGAGAGAGAGAGAGAGAGAGATCAACCTTTATGTGGATGTCTTTAGAGGCCTGAAGATTGCATTAGACTCTTGGAACTGGAGTTACAAGTGATTGTGTGCCACTTAATGTGGGGCTGGAAACTTAACTCCAGCCCCAAGCACTCTTAGCCACTAAACAATCTCTAGTCTCTTACTATGTTTTTTGAAATAAGGTCATTTAGGCTGGGGCCTACCCAAGTAGGCCACACTAGTTGTCTCTAGTACTGGGATTACAAATCCATGTTACCATACCCAGTTTTTTTCTTAGGGTGAGTTCTAGGGATCAAACTCAGGTTCACATGCTTACAAGGCAGTGGGGTATTTTTTTTTTTTAATGTTTTTATTTTTAAATAAAGTGTTCTACAAGGGCTGGCAAGATGGACTTGTGAGTAAAGGTGCTTGCTACCAATCTTGACAACCTGAATTTAATATACTGGACCCACAGTAGAAAGAGAACCAACTGATTCTCTAAAGTTGTCCTCTCACCTGTAGACACATAAGACTCATACAAATTCACAAATATATACATGCATTATGCATATAAATACAATAATGTTTTTTATAAGTGTTCTTTAAAAGGAACTTTATTGCATCTTAGCTTTTTGGTTTTTTAATTGGTTATATATTTGAGGTTTACAATATGGATTGTAAAATGATGACTATAGTGTGAAGTAGATGATTTACCTATTATCTTATATAGTGACTTTCGTATGTGACAAGTCGCTAAAAGCTACTTTTACTTAATAAAATTCCCTAATACAATTTTTTTAACTGTAGATTTGAATTGTTATTAGTTCTTTAGGTTCCTGTTTCTTCTTTATTTTTTCTGCCATTAAAGCTAATTTTGATATTTTTTGAATTACTAGTTTACAAGCACCTTTACTCTCAAAGAAATAACATCTCAGATTCAATCTAATTGGTTTCTATTTCACAATGGTTCTTTCTTTGTTTCTTTTTAAGGCTCGAGATGTGCGTACTAATGAAGTGGTGGCCATCAAGAAAATGTCTTATAGTGGAAAGCAGTCTACTGAGGTAAGTTAATTATGTACATATTTTTGGAATGTTGGGAAAACATACTATTTTTTAATAATGGAGAAAAAATTAAAATAGATATGTGTAAAGGTATACAATCCTAAATGCATTTGTAGATTTTTCTTTTATCCTGTTTGCTTGTTCATTCATTCACTTTTTTTAAACCTTTTTCATTGCTGTACTAAACCCCAGATTTCTTCATGCTAATTTTATACATACTTAATTGTGGTTGATTCCCCTCCTTCCACTCATCTTCCTGTTCTTGATCGGTTTTTACCCTTCCAGTCAGTTTGTACCCTTATGCCCTAGTATTTCTCTTTCCAGTTCCCCACCCCCTTCTATAAAGCTTCTTTGTTTGCCCTCCACTTGGCCCCTTTTTAAATTTCCCGACTCCTGCCCACGTCACATCCGTGAATCTTCTTTTACAAATGGGTGAGGCCCATTTAGCTATTACTTAGAGCCATAATCAAAATATTAGTAACATATCAAAAGCCTCCTAACCCATGTCTTATGCTTTTAGTTTTTTAAGCTGTGGTTTAATAATTATTCTGTATTTATCTTGTTTTCTAAATACTAATTAAGATGTATGTGACAGTAAATTAATAGGACATAACATTTTATTTAAAAACAATTTAGAAAATATTTCATGGCTGTTTTAAAAATTTATCCGAAGGGGCTGGAGAAATGGTTCAGAGGTTAAAAGCATTGGTTGATCTTTCAAAGGTCCCTAAGGTCCTGAGTTCAATTCCCAGCAACCACATGGTGGCTCACAACCATCTGTAATGAGATCTGGTGCCCTCTTCTGGTTTGCAGGCGTAATGTAGACAGAACACTCTGTATATAATAAATAAATCTTTAAAAAAATTATCCAAAGATAATATGTAATAATTTGAGAAAGGAAAAAGAGAACTAGTTGTTTTATCTTGCCAGTATTCTTATTTCTAGATTATGTTTGGTCTATGTAATTTACAGATTCATAAAAAAATGTACTTTTAAAATCTAGAATTCTGAGCCTGGAATGATGGCACATACTTGTAATTGCATTTGGGAGGCAGGGGCAGGTGGATCTCTGTGAGTTTGAGGCCAGCCTGGTCTACAAAGTGAGTTCTAGGACCACAAGGGCTAAATAAGAATCCCTGTCTAGAAAAACAAGACAGCAAAAAACAATTAGGATTCTGAGGTTTGTTAATTTAAAAACAAACTAATAGTTTTTTAGTTATGGCAAAGCACTTGCAGCAAAATTTGCTATGTTATACCATTTTCAAGTAGATGGCACAGTAGTGTTATTTACATTCATGCCATTCAACCATTACCAACACCCTTCGCTAGAATATTTCTAATTTTGGAACATGGGACATGTACTCATAATATGGAATGAGATTTGGTTTAGTGATAAAGTACTTGCTATCTGTTCACATGACCACCCCAGTACCACCAAAACAACAGTAATTTTTTTTAAAGCACCTACCCGCTAGCTTCCACAATTCTGCTGTTTTTTATGAAATTAACTATTGGGGCATTTCCAAGCATTTCTAACCTTTGACACTGTGGTATATTGTCATGTATAGAGTTCATGCTGGAAAGATGTGCAACTGAGTTTTTAAAAATATTGAGAAAAAAGGTTTTTTTTTTTTTTAGGAAAAAAATGTTTTAAGTAAGTTTTTTGTTCTGTATTATACTGCATTCATAGCCATCTTTAGCTACATATTGTCCTGTGAAGCCATAGAGCTACAGATTGGATATTCCTGCAAGTAGAGTCATTTAGTATTTGTCCCTTTGGTACTAATGTATTTTTTTTAATTTTTTAATTTTTTTTATTGAGAAAAGGAAAAAAAAAGTTTCCACCTCCTCCC